TTGCAGCCTCTCTCCCCAGGGCAGCAGCCCCAGCCCCTCCTGTGGTACCCGCTGGGGATGGGGCTGTGCCAGCTGGTTTGGGGCACCTGTGGCAGCAGGGTGTCCCCCTCAGCCTGGGGACACTCCTGCTGCACAGGGGGCTCAGTGTGGGTGACATTCTCCCTCCTGATGTCGCCCCCCCTGCAGCCACCCCTCCGAGGGGGCAGAGCCTGGGGATGGATGGAGCAGGCTGCTGTCCCCTCCGTGTCCTTCCTGTCCTCTCCGTGTCCTCCCTGTCCCCTGGTCAGAGTTTTACAGCCTGCCAGGCAGTGGTGTGGCTGCATGGGACCACCTGAGCTCATCCCACCACACCCCAGCCCACCCGTGGGAGCTGGGCTGGGCCATCCCCGCTTGTCCCCCCCGGGAGCCGCTCTCCGGGCTATTAACACCCCGCGATGATCATCAGCTCTCGTCGTAATCATTAAGACTATTAGAAAGAAATGTTGGCTCGCAGCTCGTGTCAGACTTTCCGTTCTGCTTTGCAAACGCGCACAATTAATGCCAATCAGGCGGGGGAGGCAGCCAGCTCCGATCCCGGCTGCTCCCAATCCCGGCTGTCAGCTCTCCCCATCCCGCCTGGTACATTTTCATACAATTGCTATAAACATCTGAGGGAAACTCCGTGTTCTTCGGCAGCGCTGAGTATTGTTCTCTGTTCCTTTTAATTACTCGGCATTCAGCGGCTCATCCGGCCTCCCCATCGGTGGGGAAAGTAGGGATTTGTAAAACAAATAGAGAAATCTGGAGAGATGCCTTATTTTCCCATTCAGTGCCTGCCTTGGGTTGTCTATGGCTAAATAAGAAAAACCTGCTAATTTTTCTTTGTCTTTTTCTTCCTCCTCCTCCCGAGTTGCTTTCTCCCCATGAGGACACAGCCTGGTCCCTCTCCCCAGAGAACCCCAAAAGCAGGGTGAGCTTGGGAGAAGGGGGGGAAGAGCCGGAATTACTTGGCCGGATGGTGGTATAATCCTTGTTACAAAAGTACACATCAATTATAAGAATTCCTACAGTAATCTTGGAAATCTATCTTTTCTGCTGAACCAGCTCATTAAAGAGCACCATTCATTTCCATCTCTCCGGGTGAGAAGGGTTTAAATCTCCAGAGCTTTGTGTTACCAAATAGACTGGGGGTGGTGGACTCGCGTTAAATATTAAAAGGAAGAAGTTGATTTTTATTTTTTTTCCCCTTTTTTTCCCCCCAGACCTGCAGCACAGACAAAATGGAATGAAAGGAGAGGAGGGTGAGGGGTCCCTGCTGTGAGAAGGTGTTGGTGGGTGACACAGGGCTGTGCTCAATGGGTGCCTTTGAGGACCCCCCCACTCCTCCCTTGGCCTGGGGACCCCTCCAGCTCTGGGGGAGGAGGGAGGGAGCGAGGGAGGTTTCCCCAGGCCACCCTGGCAAGCCCCCGAGCCTGCGCCGGAGCCGGCCGTGGCACAGGCAGGGCTTTTGTGTGCCGGCGGGGCAGTGGGCGAGGGACGGGCACAGAGCCCCTTTGTGTGCAGCTGCGAGCAGAGCAGGATGTGGGACAGAGCCCAGCCGTGGGGATGGGGAGCTGGTAGCCAGGGATGAGGAAAGGTAGCCACGGATGGGGATGGAGAGCAGCGGCCGGCCGGGTCGAGGGCGGCGCGGGGCGATGTGTGCGCTGCGCCGAGGCTCTGTGCAAACATGTTAATTTGTTTTCTTTCTTGCCTCGCCTTTCAGGGTAATTGGTTGCATTTGAAGCCTTTGTGAAAGGCTTTGATTATAGTAATTTCAGCAGCGCGATCTACCCTGGATTCCTTAGTGAGATTCTTTCACAGCTCCGGCACTTGGGGCTGTAATTACGGAGTGGAGCGCGCCCAGCTGCCGAGTGTGGGGCAGCTGGACAGGGCACCACGGCCATGGGAGCACAGGGACTGTCCCTGCAGGGGACAATCACACCCCTGGTAGGAGTGAGCCAGGATGGGACAGGAGCTGTGATGAGGAGCTTTGGTCTCTGCACTGCTGAGTTTGTTGGGTCTCAGCTGGAGTGCCCGTGGTGTGGTTGCCCATGCTGGAGTTGGCTCCTGGCTTGTTGGGGTCCAGAGTGCTTTTAGTTGCTGCTGCATGGAGCCACTTGGCTTTTCTGCTGGTTGATCCCAGGTCTGTGCTGGGGCTGGGACTAAAGCCTGTGAGCATCCCGAGCATCCATGAGGGACAGCTCCCCAGTCCGTGTGCAGGAGGAGGGCATGGCACGGCTGTGTCAGATCAGTGAGGTTTTGCTTTGAGGAGCTGTTGCCACATCCGAGGGGCCACGTCTCCACATGTCTGGCAGGACCTGGCAGATCCTGCCCGCCTGCTGCGCGCTGGCCCTGCCGGGACCTCGGTGCACACAGCCAGGGCTGAGCCCTGCCAAAAACACCGACGGCACCCAAGCGGGGCCCTGACCTTTGCTAACAGGGCCGTTCCCCCCTTGCTCCTGGCATTTTGTTCCCAGTCCCACATAATGACCTTCTCGGCAGCGCCGTGCCAGCGTCTGCCACTTCCAATTACCCACGGCTGCTCGGCGCCCGCCGCGGCACGCGGGGCTCCTTCCTCCCTCCATGCCCCTGCATGCTGCACTCTGATCCCCCACCCTCCTGTCCTGGGGAGCCTCAGGAGCCCCCCGAAAGCCCCCAGGGCTCCAGGGTCCTGCCCCGGGGTGCTGGAGGCGCTTGGCTTTCCAGAATCATTATTAACCTGTTCGAGAGCTGTTCCCGCTCGCAGCGAAAATAGATCTTTAATCTCTGCCCAAAATAGCTCATTTGATGAGAGGCCTCCTTAAAGCTGACACATAAATTTAACCAGGCCGCCCGAGCCCTGCACAGGGATGTCTGCAAATGCTCAACAGCACTCGAATTGTTGGGTTTTTTTAAATTCCATCGTTGCGGACATATCTGATACCCTATTTCTTCCTTAGGGTCTTTGGAAGTGCTCAGGAGATGATTTGCCGTGCCCTGTCCCAGTTCCTTTCACCCTGCTTGTGAGCAAAAGGTTATTTTAGGGTATTTTTTCATGTTGACTCTTGAACAGTCCAAGGCATTTCTCCTTGGAGCTGCCACAAGAGCAGAAACCTCATCTCTGGGTGGGATGGGATAGACATGAGATGCTGCTGTAGATGCCTGTAGCAGTGAGTGGTCCAATGCCACTCTGTCCCTGGCACTGTGCCACGGCTTGTGGGCTCTGTGCCATCCTGGTGTCACAGCAGCCCAAAAAAGTGGGAAATGAGGATGCTCAGGGTGTCACAGCTCTGCTCAGCTCCGGGTCCAGGGCCCACCCAGCACCTTCCCAGTATTTCCACAGAGCATGGGCTGGGAGAAGCCACTTTGCTGCTCTGAGTCTCTCCCCCAGCCCCCCACAGTCCCCACATCCCAGCGAGACCCTGAGCAGCAAAATAATCACTTCCAGCATCATTATCCATCGCAAACCCTAGCTTCCAATTTTAATCAGAGGAGCTGGTGTTGCTTTAAGATCTGCGGGTTTTAAAGATCACAAGAGGGGTTAGAGAAAATTACCCTTGACTCTTACATGCTAATGTAATCTCTAACCAGATCTGCAGCACTGCAGCTAAAATTGCTTTTTAGATTAACATTTAATTATTAACAGGGCCCCCTGAAAGGCCCGGGGCTGGAGCACGCGGAGGGGAGCGGATTAGCCGGGCGGGATGAGGGAAGGTCGGGCGAGGGAAGGTCGTGGGGTGACCCGTGTCACCTTTGGTGACAAACTTTGGGTTTTATTTTGCCTGATGCTCCCCGTGGTTCTCAGTGGGGTAACCTTTCTGTGCTCACTCCTTGTAGGGTTGAGCTGTGGCATCGCTGCATCCCCTCCACCCTAAATCTGGATGGGAGATGGGAGTGGCAGTGCCAGGCAGCAGCACCGGCCAAAATCCTGCTTGCCCTGCAATGGGTGGAATCCTTCCTCCTCTGGCACCTCCTCACCCTCAGCATGGGATGGGAAACCAGTGGTGGTGGCAGTGGCGGGAGATGGTGACAGGGAGCTCCGATGTCCCCAGGGCTGTGAGGGAGGGGAGCTCCCTGCTGGTGTGGTTGGATTGTCCTCCATCTGTGGAGGGATGAGGGACAGGGATGTTCTCTGTTGTACTCTTCACACCAAGGGCCAGTGAGGGCTTTTGCTTTGTTTCTCTGGTTGCTGCCAGCCTTGGCCTTCTCTGTGCTGTCCGTGTGTCTGTCTGGCACTGTCAAGAGCCTCCTGTGCCTCTCAGGGTCACCCCTCACCTCCTGTCCTTGTGCTAAACCCAGTGCTGGCTTTTGATAGCCAAGGAGGACACAACCATGGTGTGGCTCAAACAGCTTTGCAGTATCCCTGGTCCTGCCCCCCTTTCCTCTCCCAACCCCAAAAGCTCTCTTTTGATGGGATTGCATCCCAATAACAACTGGGGAAGGATCTGGAGCTGTTCCACCACAGCCTGGATGGTGACCAAGACCTTGTCCCTCACCATCCCCGCCCTGCCACAGCTCAGCAGCCACAGACCCACTTCAGGCTGAGACTTTAAAAGTTCCTTTTTTCTTTTCTCCCCCCTCCCGTCACATTTTCTTTTATCTAAATCCTCGCCTGCAAAAGCCTCTATCGACAGCTGCGCTGGCCTTATCTCGCGGGAGGGACCTTCGCAGGGCTCTCGGAGGAGATAAGCCCGACTTATCAGCTGCTGATGTCAGAGGAGGTGCCAAACCCTCCCATCACTGGGGCTTTAGACATAGAGGGTGGTGTTTTTTATTAAAGTCACAAAGACCTTGGGCTTATAAATAGTGTGATGTTGAGATGGATTAGCTGGGTGTGGGGCAGGGTGGAGTGGTGGGAGAGGGGAAGGATGGAGTTGTGGCTCCCCCATCCCTGGAAGTGTTCAAGGCCAGGTTGGACAGGGCTTGGAGGAACCTGGTCTAGTGGAAGACATCCCTGTGCATGGCAGGGAGTGGAGGAGAATGGGCTTTAATGGCCCTTCCAACCCAAACCATTTGGTGATTCTGTGATGCCAGAGTTGTGGAATATGGAGTTGGGGCTCCTGGGGCACCTTGCTCCAGATGTCCCCAAGGGACCCCACTGTTGGTGGGACTCGCCCTGTGCCCCAGTGCTGGGTGATGGTGGGTCCACGTGCACAGCCTGGGCAGAGGCCATGCAGACTCGGGGGCGTTCCAGCAAAACTGCTGAGTGTTGCCTTCCCTGCCACGAAAGAGCCAGAGCAGCTTGAACTAAATCGGATCCTGCTGATTGGAATTAGTTCAAATGCAGATGGAGCTAACTAAGCCGGCGCTAAGCGTTGGACAGCCCAGCGCCCAATTCCCATCAGCTGATTCAGGGGCTTTTCGGAGCGGCATTAGCGAAATGCCACCGTGGCACAGATGCCCATTGTGCCAGGCGCCCACCCGCTCGCCCACGGGCCCTCTGGGGCTTGGGGCTCCCAGCAGGGTGTTGGGGTGGACAGACGGACACTGTTCTGGGGTCGTGGCACCAGAGCCTCCCAGGTTCTGAGCGTGCCTGTGAAGGTGGGGCGAGGAGCAGCGTAGCTGTCGGGAAAATCATCTGGGCTGCGAGACGCCGGGAGACGGGGGCAGCAGCAGGGGCTGAATTAATCTGTGCCTTTATTCAGTTTGGCGTGTGGCTCCCGCGCCTCTCCCGCCTGCTGCCGCTGATGATCCCAGCCCAGGGTGGGGATGGCTCCAGGAGGGAGCTGGGCTGTGCGTGGCAGGGCACAGAATCGTGGGGACAACCTGTGCCAGCATGGAGGTGTCCCCAGGGCTCTGCTGGGCCCTCAGGGTGCCCTCAGCTCCTGTGGCAGGCTGCATCCACACCGTCCCTGTGCCAGCACGTGGGTTTGGTGACCCCCCCGGGTGCTTTCTCCTCGCTCTCAGCCCCGCGTGCCACAGGGACCAGCAGGGGCTTGATCCAATCCGGCAGTGGCACGAGCCACCCACGCCGCCCGTGTCCGCCAGGGACACGGGTCAGTGTCCCCGCGAGGAGCGGGTGACGTCCGCCGCTAATCGGCCAGATGGTGACACCCGGCGGGACGCCAGCCCCGAGGTCACCGCGGAGCTCCGGCTCAGGTACGGCAGGAACCAGTGCCATCATCCATCTCCTGCATGGCCGTGGGTGCCTTGATCCAGGGCCACCCCTTGGGGACAGGGACAGGGATGGGGATGAGGTCGGGGTGGCAGCTCCCGTCGTGGAAAATCCGGGTGCTGGGCACGTTCCGGGGGAGCCGAGGCGCCGGGAGTGGGGCTGCATAATGAACCCCGAGTCCCGGCGGGGAGAGGAGAACTCCTGGCAGTCAAGTGCGTTCAGGCTCTGAATAAGAAGCACTTCATTCTCTTTTCAAATTGTATAATTTCTGCCTGATTGTAATGGCATATTTTAAAATTACCAGAAATCGAAGCCAGAAAATGGATACGGCTGCTTTTACTGCGAGCTGCGTTAACAAAGGATATGTAATGCATGAAATAAAAACACCTCCCTGCCCCCCTCCTTTTTTTTTTTAAGACAGTAATAGGAGAAAATTGGTTTTGAAACTGAATAAAAGTCCCTTTCAGAGGAAATCATTTCTTTCAGGGTACCTTTGCTGAAAGTAAAATAGTGAATAATGAAAGGTGGTTACATGATTGTCTTTCATTTAGAGAGCGCGAGGACAGATGGAATCTGGGAGAAATGCACGATTGGAATAATTGCATGGTAACAAGGCGCTTGTTGTGAAATTAGTATCTTAAGAAAGTAGTGAAAAAGGCTTTTACTCATGAATACTTCATTATTAGGAGAAAACAGCACAATTTGGGTTCTCCAGACACCTGCTCGGTATTAGATGACTTCCTCCCCTCCTCCTCCTCCTTCTCGTCATCCTCCTCCTCCTCTTCCTTACACCTTTTGCTGACGAGTCTCTCCTTGTCCTTGCTTTGCTGGGGGAGTCAGGGTGAGACCCTGAGCCTGATGAGCCCAGCTGAGGCATGGACACCCTGCATGGATCCCATCCCGGGGATTATCCCAGAGCCTGGCACCCTCTGCCTGGCGGAGGGCACAGAGCAGGAGCAAGCATGGGTCCCCTTGTGTGTGCCCATGGTGGCTGTAAAGGTGTTTTAAAGGGTGACATTTAAACCAGGAGAGCTTGGAGAGCCCCAGGCACAGCTCAGGAAGCATCAATCCATGCTTTATTTCCTTGTGCTGATGGTCACGGGCTCTGCCAGAGGCCACCACGTGCCTGAGGCCACCGCATCACTCCCCAGCTCTGGGACATGTGGGAAACATCCTGGATGGCTGCAGGAGGACACGATTCCCCCACAACAGAGAAGATGGAGTGATGTACCCAGAGGTGACACCCATCCATGATGTCCAGTTGTGACCCCCGGCCATCCACGAACGTTCAGCCAGAGAGCAGCAGCGCAGGAGCTGGAACGCCGGCGGATGGGCACCACGCCTGCTTTTCTGCTGCTCCTGCCCACGTCTCCCTGCCCTCTCCGAGTGGGAATATCGCTCCCTGCGCCAGCTGGAGCAGTGGGAGGGTGTCAGCAGCAACTGGTTGTAACTCAGGGCCCCGGCGGCGGCTGGGGAGGGATGTACAATGAGCAGCACCGTGGTGACGACGACTTTGGCCTGACCCCTCCAGCTTTTGTCAAGCGGATTTTGATGCCAGCTGGGAGCTGGTGGCAGATCCCAGCACCCCGAGTGGGATGTTAACACTGTCTTTCCCCAGCCTCGGCCGGGGTCACTCCGTGCCAGGAGGCGCCGGCTGGCACGCCGGCGGAGCGGTCTGGCACCGCCACGACGCCCCGGCTCCGCCACATTCCCGGTGGGAAGGGCGGAAAGCTCTGCAGGAAGCGCAAATCACCCGCTGAGACCTTCATATTTATTTTATAGACATTCCTATTCATTTCAGGCTTTCAGAGTTAGTTGTTTGTCTCCAGAGGAGCGAAGGCACTGAGTGCTGGGGAGCTCCTGCCGGGTGGGCACCGGGGTGGTGGCAGGGGGTGGTGGCAGGTCCCTGGCTCACCGTGTGTCTCCTCTCTCGCAGGGCACGGGGCGGCAACGCCCGCAGGGAAGCCTGGACCATGCTGGCCTGCCTGCAGAGGACCCAGAACCCCCCAGCCCAGCACCTCCCCTGCCCCAACAAGGCGCTGGAGCCACGCAAGTGTAAGTGCCCGGGGGCGGGCGCCCGCTTTGATGCTGTTTCCCTTATTGAAAAAGACATTTATTTAACCGATAATTAAAAAGAGCAGGAGAAGCGGGGAGGAGAGGGGGAGGAAGGAGCCAAGATAAGCAAATTAAATTGGGTTCTGTGGTTGATAAGTCCAACTTCAGCAAATGTTGCAGAGCTGCCTGGGAAGCGTGGCAGCAGCAGAGGATGGTGCAGTCGGCCCCCCAAACCTCCCCGGCCCTTCCCCCCCTAATTACTTTCCCCGTTTGTGCTGCAGCTCGCCTTCCCCAGGAGCTGGCCTTTCAGATAAGCTGTAAACTAGTTACATTAAAATGGGATCCAAAAGGTCACTCCAGCAAAGCACCTGTCTCTCCCAGCCTTTGTCTCTCAATCCAAACCGTGATTAAATGTATATTTAATGAGCCTGCTTTAGGCAGGCGTGTTTGACCTCCCCGGCTGGGAAAGACGCATTAAGATTCTCAAGTGATGAATGTGTGTTTTAAAGAGGGGAGTGGATATTTTTCTGCTGGTCTCAGTTGGATTTTTAAACATTGCCGGCTGAAGACAAATCAGCTGCTAAAGCTCTGCTTGTTAGGCTGTGACAGCCCCCGGGTGTTTGTTTAATGAGCTGGATTTTCCTGTAGATGTTTTTTTTCCCCTCTACCTGGGCACCCTGAGCAGCCAGGTGAGCTGGGCATGGGGTTTGGACAAGCTGGGTATGAATTTTGGACGATGCTCAGCCTCTCTGGGGACCCCCAGCATCGCTTCAGCATTGCACTGCCAGCCAGGATGGTTATTTATCCCTGGAAGTTCTTTTATCCCTGAAACTTATCATGTTCATGGCCGCGGACAGGGCTTGGAGCAGAAGGTGTGCCTGCCCATGGCAGGGGTGGGAAGTGGGTGATCTTTGAGGTCACTTCCAACACAAAGCATTCTGGATTCCATGATTTTTTGTGTGAAGCTCCCCAATGGCCAGCACAGGGAATAGGACACCCAGACCAGAGGTGGGGTTTTGGGCACCCAGGTGTCACAGTGCAGCTTGCACTGCCTTGGAGCGTGCAGTGCCTCCCAGGTCTCCTCCTTGTTGGTGTCTGGAAGGAAAAAAGGACGCTGCTCTTGTAACATGATTTGTAATCCGTCACGCCTGAGCATCGCAGCAGCACAGGGCTGGTGAGAGGTGTCCAGCTCCTGGAGCACCTCGTTGCCATGGAATAATGAGCCCAGCCATGCCCACATGGTCTGAGACCCATGGGCAGGATGAGCCTGACAGGGTTTTCTGGAGAAAAACTGAAGGTGTTCAGCGTTGAGAATCTCTGTGTGAGCTCATTGTGCTCCTGGGGTCAGGATACAGCTGCTGGTCCCCACAGCATTCCCAGCAGAGCTAAGGAGCATCTCAGCTCATGGAACAAGCCCCAGAGGGTCCCTAGGACTGATGGAGGGTCTGGTGCTTTCTAGCATTTCCCACCCTGCCATAGGAGCTGAAATAAGGAGGGTTTGGGAAGCAGGAGCCCTTATGTGGTGTCACACACGGTGCCATGGGTGTGACAGATGCTCCTGGATACAGCTGCCTGTGTCCTGGGAGGGTCCCAGCCCCAGTGTCCTGGTGGTCCTGGAGTTGTGCCAGTGGGATGGGGACACAGGTTTGACCCCACCCCAGACTCTGGCAGCGCGGGGTACCCAGGAGACAAAGACTGGTCTCACCTCATCCTCAGGCAGGACTGTGCTCACCTGAGATCTCCAAAAGAATTGTGTCCCCCAGGATGGGTGGCAGCAGCCAAGCTCCTGCCCACGCTGCACTCACCACCAGCCAGGTCACCTTAATCAAAGTTTAGCTGCCCGTATGTTTCCGCTCATTACGGGCGAATCCGGCACGTCTCGCTCCTCTCTGCCTCCTGCCAGCGCAAATTAAATTGCAGGTGACATCCAGGGCCACACATCTGGCTTGGAATACAATTTTCCCTTCCTTATTTATGGCACCTGTGGGAAGCACAGTGGAGGGGCTGGGAGCTGGCACGGGGCTGAGCTCCCGCTGCCACCGGAGCGCCCGCGCGGGGAATCGGCACCGAGAGCGCGCTCTTCAAACCAGGCGCAATTTAGAAGTGCCTCTGATTACTTAATTTGCTCCTGAGTATCTCAGTAATTATCTTTATGGGTCTTATTTCTGTCCTCTGGCATTGTTTCTGTCGATATTAAATGAGTCTGGCTCTCGGCACATTGGCCGTCTGGCCCGGCACCACTGTGAAATCCTATTATCCTGCCCGCGCCGCTGATTAATTTTGGTATTAATTTCACGTAAAAGGTGAGCTGACTCATTTTCCTGCCCATGCAGGGAGCTGCTGGTGCCTTCACCCCCCGGTTCTGTCCCTGGCCTTTCCTGCTGAGTGTTGTCCCCCCCATCTGTGTGCCCCCCACATCGGTGTGGCTGCATCCCAGCAGGCCTGGAGCATCCCACCAAATCCATCCTGACAGAGCTGGAGGTGACTTTGCTGCTGTTGCCAGTGCTATTCCCAAGGCTGTTCCATAGGAACCAGCCTGGCATGCCTTGAGGAGGATGCAGGAAGGTGCCAGAGCCCTTCCAGCCCTGCCTGTGCCTCGAGGAGCAGGAGCCTGCAGAGCAGCAGCATCCTCAGGAAAATATCACGTCCAATTAACTCCAGCAGCCTGGTCCCTTTTGATTTTATCCTGGGCGCATTACAGGAATCCTGAGCTTCATTTAAATTATAAATCAAATAATGCCCCTCTCAGCTTGGCCAAACTCTTTGCTGCTCCCACTCTCAGCAGTCACGGAGCAGTGGATGGTATTTAATGAAATGTTATATTCCATGTGCCCTCCTCCAGCCAGCCTGGCGCTGGCAGTGTGGCAGGGAGCAGGATGTGTGTCCCCCTAAAGGGGCTGGGAGCCATGGGGAGTTCACAGAGGTGAACCTTGAGCATCCTCTGTGGCCTACAGGAAAGATGGAGGGGGGTTATTTACAGACTTTGGAATGGCAGGATGAGTGGGAATGGCCTCACACTGCCAGAGGGAAGGGATAGATGGATTTTTGGGAAAAAATTCTTCCCTGTGAGGGTGGAGAGGCCCTGGCACAGGGTGCTCAGAGAAGCTGTGGCTGCCCCTGGATCCCTGGAAGCATCCAAGACCAGGTTTGACAGGGCTTGGAGTTACCTGGGACATTGGAAGGTGTCCCTGCCCATGGCAGGGGGTGGCACTGGATGAGCTTTAAGGTCCCTGCAGCCCAAACCAGCCTGGGCATTCTTTCACCATTCACATCCTCCCGTGGGAGCTGTCACCTCAGCCCCATGGGGACAGTGTGACAAATGGCTCTTTGGGGGTGGCACAAACCCTCCCGGGGCCCATCTGGGTATTTAAACACTAACGAGGGGATGGCCCTAATGAGAGGCAATGGCCAGGGCTCCCTGCCTTCAGGGTCACCCACAGCTCTCCCTGCACCTGTGGGGACTCTCATCAGTGATAAACCAGTTAATTGCACACGGGGTGAGCCCCATTTAATGGCCTCTCGTTACCCAATTCTGCTTGTTCCAAGGGCATTTTCATTAGAGTGGCTGCAGCGAGGCTTTGCTTTTGTACACACCCATAAAATATCATTTTAATTTCATGAGGGGTTACACATGAGTGAAGTAAGATTAATTCTTTCATTTTCAGTTTCTGGAAGGGATTGGTTAATGATGGTTCTGTGTATTTATATACGTGCCATAAAAAGGAGTTCAATTAACTGCTGGGCCCAAAATGTGCTGTTCACTTGCAGTTTCCCTGCCAGGAATCGCTGCAAAAACACTTTTCCCTTGGTCATGTCTGGAGGATGAGGTGGGGCTGCTCAGTGCCCATCTCCTGCCAGGTCAGAGCCCTGGGTTTGGGGTGGGCTTGGCTGGTAATGGTGCAGTGCACGAGGAGGTTTGGTTTGTGTCCAAACTTCCCAGGATTGTGATGTCCATTGGTCACAGAGCAGGTTCCTGGGCACTGGCAGACCCCAGGATGGGGCACCCTGCTTTGGAGGTGCCCACCCTGCTCCCCTTGGCGGATACAGAACCCGTGCCTTAAATTAATTACAATATTAATTGGCTGTGGATGAGTGAGCAGAGGGGCTGGGGGCAGCTGGGATGAGCTGCAGGGCCAACAGAGGTGGGGTCCCCTCCTGCCCTGGGGTCCCTCGGAGGCTCTGTGGTGAAATGGCATCAGAGCTTCTGAAAGGTGGCACTGGGATGGCACTGGGGTGGCAGTTGTGTTGGGTGGCCTCAGGGTGCCTTTGAGGTGGCTTTTTAGGGCTCTGTTGGCTTCAGATGGGTGGCACTGAGGTGGCACTTGTGTTGGGGTGCCCTCAGGGCTGCGCTTGGTCAGCGTCGTGTGACACACAGGTGACATTAGGGCAGTATCAAGGTGGTGCTGAGGTGGCACTTGAGTAGTGGCACTGGGACAGCAGCAGGGTGGCATTGGGGTGGCACTGGGCTGAGAGCGGGACAGCATCGTGGTGGCATTGGGGTGTCACTGGGGTGACAGTGGGACAGCATCAGGATGGCATTGGGGTGTCACTGGGCTGAGAGTGGGACAGCAGCAGGATGGCATTGGGGTGTCACTGGGCTGACAGTGGGACAGCATCAGGATGGCATTGGGGTGTCACTGGGCTGACAGTGGCACAGCATCAGTGTGGCATTGGGGTGTCACTGGGGTGACAGTGGGACAGCAGCAGGATGGCTTTGGGGTGTCACTGGGCTGACAGTGGGACAGCATCAGGATGGCATTGGGGTGTCACCGGGGCATCTTCCCGCAGCGGCACGGTGGCTGTGGTGGCACAGAGCACGGTGCCTGTGCCGGGCTAATACCTCGTGGAGGAGACAAATGGGAAGTGACACGTGTGTGTGTAGACGGGTATTTGTGGTGACGCTTTGACTGCAGATAATAAAGTGCTCGCCCCGAGGTGATCCAATTCAGCAGCCGCCTCGGCAGAGCCGCGCGCGGCGAGGGGGAGAAGAAAGGGGAGGA